AGTAGTAGTAGTAGTAGTAGTAGTAGTAGTAGTAGTAGTAGTAGTAGTAGTAGTAGTATTTGTTGTAGTACAGCCACTGCTGCTTGTACTATTGCTGCCGCGGCGGGGCCACCGCTGCTGCTATCATTATAACGGTGTACATACTCACCGGTAGTTCCTTCAGATCGTTGTTCGACATGACGACCGTGTCTAGCACGACAGGCGCGTCGTCATCAAAGCTGATCGCGTTCTCCTCAATAACAGTCAACAGCCGGTTGTAGCGCAGCTGCAGTGTCTGTAGCGACGGCAGACCTCGCAGCGCGTGCGCCCTCACGCGTTCGAGCTTGGGCATCCTATTAATCCAGAGCGTCTTCAAAGCCGGAAGGTCTGTGACGAAGTCCGCGGGTAACTCCCGCAGCGGGTTGTGACTGACGTCGAGTGTCATCAAGCTGGGAAGCTTCCCGCTGATAGCTCGCATGAAGCTCTCGGGCTCTTTGAAAAGGTTATCGTTGATGAAGAGCGACTCCAGCTTGTCGAGTCCCTCGAAGAGATCGGCGTCGATGGCGGTCAGTTGCAGACCGGCGATGTTGAGCGTACGGAGGTTCGGTACGCGTCGGAGAATTTCGTCGTGGAGGATCTTGAGCGGGTTGTAGCTCAGCGTCAGCTTCGTGAGGTTGTCGAGACCAGAAAACTCGTTCTCGTGCAGATGGAAGATGCTGTTGTTCTCCAGATCCAGCTCGCGGAGGTTCTCCAACCCCGTGAAGATCCCGCTCGAGAGATGCAGCTCGTTTCCGGACAGAAACAGATTAGTGAGCTGCGGCAGCTGTCGGAACGCATCCGGTTCGATTGTCTCGATCCGGTTGTCGCGCAACACGAGCGTGACGACAGCGCGCAGCGGCGCCAACATGGCGGCCGTCACCATGGAAACGTCGTTGTTGCCGAACTCGAGCTTGGCGAGCTTGTCGAGTCCGTCGAATGCGCCGTCGCACGATGCCGCCGCGCAGCTGATGCGGTTGTCGGCGACGTGTAGCTCTCGCAGCTCGCTCAGCTCGCTAAAGGCTCCAGGTGAGATCGTGTGGATGGTGTTCTTACGCAGGTAGAGTCGCTCGACGTTGCGCAGACCGGCGAGCGACGCCGCCGTCAGGTTCGTGAGGCGATTGTCGGACACGTACACGCTCTTCACGCGCTCGTCGAGGTCGGTGAAGTCCGGCAGGGACTCGAGAGCGCGCGAACTGCAGTACATGCTTGCCGACCGTCGCACACAGCGGCAGACGGCAGGACAGCGAAGGTCCGTCGTCGTCGGCGGCGGTGTCGGCTCAGTGCTGTCAGGGTCGTCGGCGACGGAGGAGAGCCGGAGCAGGGAAAGCACGCAGACGAACGCTGCGACGTGGCGGAGGAGGATCGCGGGCGACATGGCTGCGCTTCCGGTTCCGGTTCTATCGGAAAGTAAAACGTCACGAGTGATGCGAATGTAGCGTCGATATCGATCTCTCTATCTATCATTCGATCTATCTATATATCCATCTATCCATACATACATCCACCCATCCATCTATCCAAATATCTATCTATCTCGCTATCTATCTATTTATCTATTTATCTATCTATCAATCTATCTATCCATTTATCCATTCATCCATCCATCCACCCATCTATCTATTTACCTATTTATCCATCCATCCATACATCCATCCATCCATTCATCCAATTATCTATCTATCTATCTATCTATCTATCTATCTATCTATCTATCTATCTATCTATCTATCTATCTATCTATCTATCTATCTATCTATGCTACCATCGATTCTAATCTATGCTATCTAATCTATGCGATCTATTCTATCTATCCATCCATCTAGCTATACTATGGCTATCCGATACTATGCTATCAATCAATCAATCTTATCTATCTATCTAATCTATGCTATTCTAATCTATCTGATCTCTGCTATCTATCTATCTATCTATCTATCGAGTCATATCTATCTAATCTATGATATCCTATCTTATCTATCGTATCTATCTAAGTCTATCTTATCTATCCATCTATCTCAGGCTAAGCTATACAATCCATCCATGCAATCTATCAAACAGACTCTGTAAATTACAAATGACTCTATACACAGCAAATGTTGTTGAACCGGTGAAATAGAAATGGCAAGGGTGTGTGTTGTCTTGGCGTCAAGCGAACGTTGCGCTGCTACATTGTGAATAAGCATCTAACCGAGCGTATTCTTTGTGCAGATATTAGCAATCGTAACATACCACGCCGTCTCAGTTGTGCGCGAAGGCATTCATAATTATTATTGTGTTTCGTAAAAATTACAAAGAGCTGGGAATTACAATTCACATTTCTGGCCGACCGCCGTGAGGTGGGTAAGCGTCTTAAATTGATGTGTGAGAATAACATACAACACGATACAAATGCATCACAAGAGTATATTGCTGTTACAACCAACAATTCAGTGCTATAACAAATAACCGCTGAGGTGGGTGATATTATGAATCTTTAGCTATTTGTCTACTGGTGAAAACATGACTATATAAATAAATTATGAACACGTACATTTATCGCATACACATGACGCACTGACAAGACACAGCGTCGCACACACCGCACACACACACACACACACACAACAACACACACACACACACACACCACCATACACACAGCACACAACACAGCACAAACCAGCAACACAGTCACACACACGCAACACACGCACACACACAACACACACCACCGGAGCACCAACACACACACAGCACACGCACTACGCACGCACGCACACAACACACAGCACACAACACACCCACACACACAACACACACACACAGCACACAACACACGAACGCGCAGCCGCGCCCCCCCCCCGCGCAGGCCTGAGCGCACTCACAAACACAGCACATCAGCACACACACACACAACCACCACACACACACACATCACACACGCACATCACACAACGAGCGCACTCACAAACACACGCACACACACTCACACTCACGCACACAGCACGCGCGCACGTATAGACAAACAGCGCGCCGAACAACACAGGCAAACACGAACGCACATATGCAGCACACACGTTCAACGAGCGACTTTAAGAAGGACAAGCGACTGTATGAATGTGTACGTAAATGTAAGTGCGCGTATCATACTTTTTTAATCTGTAAACAGGGGTTGTTGACACTGTCCCATACCACTTATTCATTTTTTAATCAAGCAACTTAATCACACTTAAACACACTTAATCACACTTAATCACACTAAAACACACTTAATCACACTTAAACACACTTATAATAGCGCGTTCACACGTAGCAAAATCCACGTTCGTACGCATACAAAAACAGAGTTTCGTAACGTACTCGCGGATATATTTCCCTCGTCTGAACGACCACAGTATAGAGCTATACGCGGTTCGGAAAAACGCGTATCACTACCTGACAAAATGAGTGCGTTCTACGTACTCCGTATAAGCTTATACGCGTATGAGGCGGAACGTGTGAACGACGGTATAGCTAACGCGTATACGCGTTCACGCTTTGTGGGCGAGAGAGAGAGAGAGACTGGAGAGAAGGAGAGAGAGAGAGAGAGAACTGGAGAGAGGGAGAGACAGAGAGAAAGAGAGAGAAAGAAGAAGACAGAGAGACAGCAGGAGACTGCATACGAGTTAGCAGAGAGGGGAGGAGAGAGGTGGAGACACCATAGAGGGAGAGAGAACCAGGGAAGAGGGGGAGACGCATAGAGATAGGGAGGAGAGAAAAAGAGAGAAGAGAGAAGAGAGAGAAGAAAGAGGAGAGGGGCGCGCGCAACAGCACCAGAGATGGGACACAGAAAGAAAAGAGAGGATAGCAAAAAGCCGAAACCTAATAACCGCATTGGCGTAAATCTTATCGTTTCTTTTCGCCGCTATGCGCGCAGCATAACGCGAACGTACGTACATTCCAAAACTACGTGTGAACGCTGTTTAACATTCAAGTCAAGCGTCTATACGCGTATCTTACGGAGTCCCGCGAAAGATACGCGTTCGAAAACTGCGTTTTACGGTACGGTGTGAACGCCGCTTATTAATCTCACCAGACATGCAACGACTTAATACGCATTTGATAGAGGGCGGCATATCGGCAACTGTTGTGGTCAGCAAGTGTAGTTTATCCTAATAGCCGCATCGATTTTGCTTTTACTTCGCGTGTGCTTATAAAGTAGCTGTCGATGTGTTACTAATAAGTGTGAAATATAACTTCAAATGTAATAAAAGTTAAATCATACCAAGATGTTGTGCTGTAGAGGGCCACATTCGCCATCTGTTGCATGATTTCAAGTTTTTACTTAGCCTATCGCTAGGGGCTAGAGCAGCAATAAATTATTAATGAGAGATACGATTTATGTTTTACCATGTGAAGCATACGACGGCATCCCCTCCTCATTTTAAATGCCTAATCTCAGCAAAGTCTTGTCTTTGTTTGTGAGATAAGGGCATGTGCAATTTAAAGTGCTCCCGCGCTGGTTACACGGAGATTTGGTGCGATAAACACCTTATACTATATGCCAGAGTTACTGGGCGGGTATGTGCTCACTAAATTAAAAATATTAATTTTCAAGAATACCAAATACCGAAAACCAATACCAAACCACCAATTTGGCATACCTATCACACCATAAATGATTCAAAGTAACGTGGATGTGAGCCAGCGCTAGTCCACGCTCTATTCAAATATATCTACAATAGGTACGCAAAAAAACACAAACGTGTAAAAAATGTAAAACCATATGATTCGCATCCACACGAGCATTCGAAAAGTCCGGTTTTTTACGATCTTTTGGCAAACGTATAACCATAAGTTATTATTTTCATCGTGTAGACCAGCGGGTACGATATCATATTTAGCAATAATGTACAGACAGTGATTAAGCAAGCCGAATTAAATAACTGATTAAATAGTTGTTAAAATTGACTTACGTCACGAATTTTCATGGAAAATTGTAAACAAATTTTGTTGCCATTATTTTTACATCGTAAAAGTAAGAACTACGGGCTAAACGTACTCGTCAAACCTCTACGCTGATAAGATTGTCTTCTCACTAGTTTAACAAATCCAAAAAACCCCCTGAACGAATTTTCAATAATTAAGATGTTCCTGACATTAATTGCTTGCATGGGCTAATGACTGGAATCGTCCACGAGTGTAGTTCACATCGAACAATTATAGTAAACACTAAGAAGTAAATGCAGCAATTTAACCATAAAAAGTGAACAGAATTAGGGCCTACTTATATTTTGCGAAAAGGAAAATTTATTTTGTATATTTTTATTTTTTACGGTGAGTAATTCACTTTAACCCGCGGATTGCGTACAACTAACTAGTTGTCAATTGCCCTCTGTTATAAGCGGATCCGACATTCGGTCACTGCCGTCCTAATAACGATTCACGCTCACACGCACGTAAACAATAGTATCCTCACAAACATGATAAGCAAGCAAACCAAACGACGACTCACCTTAATTCGCGAATTATAGCCGATGCGCTAACAGGCGCAGTAAAGGGCACTGCATTCACACACAGCCGCCGCTGTGATCGTTGTGGAGTATAAAGCGAACTGCACCACCGACTTACACTCGAAGCGCACTAACTATATCCAAATGTCAACGGCTCAAAACGTCAGTAGACACGTCGTTGAAATCTGTCGGCAAGCTTTCGTAAACATGGAGATTGAGAGAGAGAGAGAGAGAGAGAGAGAGAGAGAGAGAAAGAGAGAGAGAGAGAGAGAGAGAGAGAGAGAAGAGAGAGAGAAAGAGAGAGAGGAGAGAGAGAGAGAGAGAGAGAGTAGAGAGAGAGAAGGAGAAGAGAGAAAAGAGGAGAAGAGAGAGAGAGAGAGAGAGAGAGAGAGAGAGGAGAGGTAGTCCGCGCAACGAATTTTCCGCGACAGTTTCTCGGCCACGTACCTCGGAAAGGTTTCTGTACGTCCGACGTCAATAGTTATCTCCTTCTTTCTGTGCTTGTTGTCGCCGTGGGTGTGTGTGTGTTATTCTCTATCGCCTGCTCGTTCTAACTTCAATATCATTCCCGCTCGCTTTGCTTACATTGAACGTCACCATCCGGCCCTCGATGATATTATGAGAAATAAGGATTGTGCCGGTGTACGCGGGAGCGCCGAGGTATTGACATACTGGACCAAAGTACAACAGCACTGCCTGTGTATGTACGTGCGTGCACGTGAGTGAGTGTGTGTGTGTGTGTGTGTGTGTGTGTGTGTGTGTGTGTGTGTGTGTGTGTGTGTGTGTGTGTGTTCGTGCGTGGGTGCACGTAGGTCCACATGCGTGTTTGGTATGTGTGTGTGGGGGGCGTGTGTGTGCGTGTGCGCGCGTGTGTGCGTATGTATGTGTCGTATTTGTACACTCTTGGCAACAACTAACCTACACACTGATTGCTGCACCCGCCACGGTGAACCAGCTACTAGCCACTAGCCAGCTAACTGACACAAACATAATACGCAATAGATGGCGCCCACACGTTTACAACAATTTAACAATTTGCCACACAAACATCCAACGTAGAATACCGACTTGAGAATTAAACTTGGAAACAATGTCGCGATGCGGTCTCTCTAATATAGCTTAAAGTTTACGATGGCGCTCACAATGACGTCATTGCTTGTGAATGACCACCTATAGATGCACACTCTGTATGTATGCAGATCTCACACTATAGTATTGATGCAGAGCCGTAGCCCGCGGGTGCTGTGGCAGATGCGTCACTAGATTTCAGAGAAAAATTTATAGTAAAATATATAATATAGAAAAAGTATAAATAATATGCCTAGAATATTAATAATCTTAAAATAACAGGGCAAATATATCTCTTCAGCCAAATCTTATCCTACACGTGGTATGTTTCCTAAACTCCTTGACAGAGGATTCCATCGTTTTATTCCTCACAAAGGTATAAGGTAAGGACATTTGGATCATCCCCAGCAATGATTTTTCGCTGGCTACATACTCCTACACTAATCTATGTGTACATACGAGAAAAGAACATAATTATGCAAATTTGATAATGATATATGCTGGTATCTCCGAATCCCTCTATATCATACGTCACAACTACACGTTCGATGTGTTCTTGTGCATCGGTGTTGCATTAATAGACGAATAATGACTTTAAAAATATATTTGTAGACCTCCACTGTTATATTATTTCTTTACGTCAAACTACAAACCAAACAACAAATTTTTATTTTTTAAACGTTTTAATAAGACTGACAATATTTCTGTATAAATATAATTTACGTAAAACAAGTATATGAATGTATTTAGTGGGAGTTCTTTGCTTAGAATGCGTTACAAGAACTGCCACACAAATGTAATCCATAATATTAATCTTTCATGCATATTATCATAATATCTATTATCAGCGATCGTATGAAACATTGGACAGACTTTACTGCTACACATAATTTAAACAAGGAGGCAGATAAAACGCATTTTGGCACACATGTAGTAAAGGAATAACAGTATTACCCTACGTTTAATCTAACGTAACATGAACCACGTTTTCCCATTGACTCCATTATTTAATTGGAGGTGCGGTCATACGGACAGTTCTACTATAAAAACAATAGGTCCCATCTCTACCACAATAGTGATTTGATACTCTCATAATACAAGCACAATTATAAATGCAAGTAAACACAGTCAAACATACAAGTTGAATAATTAGCGATGTAACACAGGAAAGGAATCCCGGAATAAGAATTTGTACCCTCTAACTGGAGCACACTGGACGTAGGGCTGAATGCGGGAACACTCATTCTAGAAACACAGAATATGTAGGCGTTTCCTCTGAGGTCTGGAAGCTGTGTAACCAGCTTGTGGTAAATAGAAAACCTGGCTCGATCAACTTATTTGAAACTGGCTGCATATGTATTACACAAATGTTATTATAGGCGATTAAACATGCAAGTTTTTTTTTAGCAAAAAATTCCTTTCATTCCTTTAAAAAATTAGGTAAAATTAAATTTTCGTTTTATATCACAAGATTAGCAGTCATAAGTTACATATTGGTATAATACTATCATAATTACTCATAAGTTACTAATGGGTGAACGAATGGATATTATCTATATAAAAGAATACTATACTAATAAATACAGTTTATCTTTACAATTCAGCTAAAGAAACAGTAAGGTAAAACACAGTGCTGCTAAACCTATGAAAAATATCATATAAACACATGTGTACTTCACTAAATATAATAAATGTTTTGAAATTGCTTCGTTATACTATAAACAAGTATAAATGTAATGAGGCCTGATGTATCTGATGGTAAAAAAAAAACACGAGATAAATGTAGGTTATGCAGATTGTGACCGCGTAGGTATTGATTTATGACCATAAACGAACATTATCTGAAGTAGCTAAACATTAGTTGATCCTTGCAATCAATGTCAAAGCATGGAATGCACATAAACTCTTGAAAATATAACCTAAACTTACTTTATATAATAAATGTATGAAAACTGATTCATTATAATATAAACAACTATAAATGTATTAAAAATAACGATGATATACATGTATATCTTTGGTCGGTAAAATTTGATTTGAAAAAGAATCAAATTTATCTTCATATACAAATGCATACCTGTGGAATGCCAGTTAACCATCAACTTACAAATTACCATGCATCATGTAACACATCACAATGACGTGGAACCCCACGTTCCATTACATCATGTCCGACGTAGCAGAATACCACGTAACACAGTGCTATGCAATGTAACATTATGCATAGTTATAACACCATGATCTAACAGAAGCTTGTATGCTATTATCTCATGTCCCAGGTAGCAGCAGAGCACCACGTGATACAACATTCATATTACAGATAAAACTCCATTCAACATGACGCTGTGCCAAATTACGACTATGAAGAAACTATGGACAATGATTAATGCCCTCGGAATCAGAATCTATCGTGCAATACAGCCTCCACCTTCTTAATGTAGTTTGAAGGAACCAGACCAGTGGTGCCATCTGGTTTTCTGGCTGTGCACCAGTTAACGTCGACCTGTGCCAAGACTTCAAGGATCTCTCCATCTTTAATACTCATCTCCTCTTCCTGCTGCAAAACACAAGCAGAGCAAGTGTTACACTGCCCAGATCTCTTTCATCTTCACACCACTCGCAGAATTGCGTTAATATATGGCAAAACTGGCTCATAATAGCAAACTGCTGCCTGCAATGTTATCTACAATTGCAGCCAACTCGATGAAATAAATCTCAGGCATTTTCCTGTATAGTTAATGCTGAACGCACCCACAATGCAAACATGTCAAGAAACTCCTTAAAAACTCTAAAAATAATTTCTTGTTTGAAATAACTGATTTGGCCCAGCTGGGGTACTCCCCCCCCCAATAAGATCATTGGCATGGCAAATGCAAATGAGAACATTATTTTAATCAATTAAGAACAGCACAACTAGTTGGACGCCACGAAACGGAGCACTCACCCCGGCACTTGCAGCGTAGTCGAACAAGACGCGATACGTCTGCCCGGTGTCGCCCCCTAGGGCTTCTACCGACTCGTACAGTTGGTTGTCGATGGACGCTTCTTCGCTGTCCAGAACAGGTACTGTGGAGTCGTAGTCAGGGGCCGCCGCCCTGCGCATAGCTGTCTTTGTACAGGATGGCTCGTACAGAACTTTCTCTGTGAGGCAGACGAAAAAAGGTGATGATGCATAAGCATGTAATTTTCAATTTCCTCGTCTGCAATAGTAGTGAAAGGCTAGTAGACGTCACCGACCAAAATAGTTATGTGAGAAGGTAGCACGAGAAATTAAGTGTGAGAGTGAACGTAGAGTAAGACTTTATATGTACACATACATGCACAGGTATACATTAAGAGACACAGACCGGCCATTTCTAAGTAAAATCTTTATTTAACGATGATAAAAACACGTTAGGTTGTCCTCTATTAGCATTTCTAATCAAACACCATGCTCCTGATATTGTGTCACCCAATGACTGCTGTGAATTTGGAAGAAATCGACTTACCAGGTCTCATAGTACCTGTCTGTTCACTCTGTATGAACACCTGAATATCCTGTTCATAGTCAAACTTCTCCAATACAATTCTGACATCTTCATTGAGCTGTAAATAAAAACACCGCAGCTACGGTTCAGTACAGGCAGCAAGCTGCGCTATACCTACAAGGCTGCCACAAGCCACGCACACCGGACATCCATAAAGAAGAGCTCACAAGAGCTCCACAAGATGCAATTACCAGTTATATAAACACGATACGCACGAGGACGTGATCACAGAAGACAAGATTGCCATCATCTAGGTATATACTCTAGGGATGATCGTCAGTTGTTTTGTTCACTACGACGTGCTCATATGACATGCGCCATTGCAGGGTGAAGGGGTCCTTACATAACCCGGGATATACTCGTAGTTTATATGCCTCTAGGCAGCTTTTACCCAATGACTGGAAATAGGGACTGAACTCGTGTGAAAGTTTTTTTTTACGTACGTCATCGATCTGGATGCAGTTGAGCGATCCTATGTTGACGTGTAACCAAGACACATTTCTTATGAAGGCGAGTCTCTCCCTGTCCAGATGTTGCAGCGCCTGCCAAGCGAATCAATCAGGAATTTACAAACACACACATACACATGCACGCACACACGTACGCACACACGCACGCACACACAAACCTATGCACGCATGCATCCATATAGAAGTAATGAATGTAATTACATGATGCGAGGCAACGCGTTGGTTATGTCACTAATGAGAACAGATTTTCAGTTTTCATCCAGTTGTTATTTTACAACATGCACATTGTGTAAGCCATTTATACTGGATGAAGACAACAGCTGCACTTCAGGCTAGTTAGTTCTATGCTATGCCAGCCAAATGGAATGTACGACCCTTACTATAAAAAAAGATTTTTAAATTTCTTGTAAAGGTCTTATTAGCATAGTAACTAGAACTTACAGTTAGGCCTATCTCAGTCTCCTTCTCCCAGTTTGAACGCGTGGACTCTAGAGCTACAATAGCAGTCTTATACTGGTCATCTGCAACACATAAAATATATGCATTCTTGGCATCAGTATGTAATAAAAACAAATTGTTTTTTAATTACTGCTGATGGCATCTATAGGTAGAGTAATGTTTACATGGAAGATGCAAATA